CGGGGATTTTTTAGTTCCCATCTGTTGAGAAAAGTTCCAGGTTTTTATGAAGCAGCTTTGATGTTGACCTCTTTTAATCCCTTGTGTTTGAGCCACAGATTTATCTCTTTTGGGCATCCCCAAAAACATTCCCCCTGTTTAATACTGTTTGTAGCAGTTTTGGAATCTGCACAAGGGCGTGACCCCAATTTCCAGAAATGACAATTTATGCTGTGGAAGCCGTTTTTTTGACTGCCCACAGCTACACCGCTTCAAAAAGATTTGAATGGTTTTTTTACTGCAATTCTACTGCAACCTCTTAAATTTTCATAATAACCTGCTGGGTGGGCACAACAAAAACCGTTTAAAAACCAGTCCGGGTTTGGGACCTAAAGGGTTCGGCCCGTCGGGGTTCGGCCCAGTAAAGGGGTTTCGGCCCAAGTCTATCTGATCTATCGTGGGTCACTTTTTAAACCAACTGGTCGTGATTTGAGCTAACACATGAAGGTCTACTGGAATTTCTACCCCAGTAATATGTGATTTTATTTTACAAAAGATAACTTTGGGGTTGAAGAGCCCTGACTGCTGGGATCCTACAATGACGAAAAAGGGCGAGCCTCCCCTTTGTTTATAATCGCTGTACTACTTCTCTATTTTTTTTTTTTTTCGCTCCCCACAATAAATGCTATTTATCATATAGTTTATGGTGCAAATTTTGGAGGGGGCGCTTTTTTTGTATAATAATTGCTTTGTTTTGTATATTGGAGCTGGTAACTCAGGTATATGAATTCACAGTAACGTCTGGGATTTCAAGAAAAAAAAACTAAGAAAGTCACCCACTTCACTAAGACCCCATTTAATACGGTTTGTTGCACTAAAAACTGTATTCTGCTATTCATGGTATCACTAGATTTATCGAGTAACTAGCAGGCCCGGAAGATTATTAAAAACAGTGACCTGTGGTGTGTAATTTTTTTTTTTAAAAAGTCCTGTATCCCCCAAGGCAGGGGGGCCCCAAAAAAAAAAAAACAAAGTTTCCCTTTGTTAAAATTTTGTAATTTTTTACAAAAGAAAGAGGTTACTAGTATATATTATAAAAATTTTTATATATTTTATATATATATATATATTTTATATATATTATTAATATATATTTTATTATATATAAAATATATGCAAAACAAACCCCCTGAAAAAAATAGAGAAATTCCTGTGTGATATATAATTTATTATACCATTGAATATATAATATATATTATAATATTTTTTAATATTTTATATATATATATTTATATTATAAATATATAAATATATATAATTTATATATATATAATTATATATTTATTTATTTTTTATTTATTTTTTTATAATTTGAGCCACTTACAGAGTACAAAAAAAAAATACAGATAAAAGCAGCATGCCAAAGCCCCTTATATATGCATAGCATTACGGGCTGGGTTAAAAAATTTAAAAATTAAAAATTAATAAGCATGATGAAATCAGTGAAAAACATTAATGTAAACTGATTACTATAAAGCCAGTAGTATTACAAAGACAGGTTATGGTTTTATGCATTTTGTAAATCAGTAGAATGGAGTAAATTTTTTAGGTAGTGAATTTAAAAAATAATAAAATTAGATTGGGTTTTAGGTTTAACATTTATTGATAAATTTTGAGAAACATTTAAGATATACAAATTTTAAGGTTCAGTTATATATAAATATATATTATAATATTATATTATTAAATATATTATATATATATTAATGCATGTTATGTAGTATTGTGTATGTCGTGCCAAAAGGCAGAATTTGATTCTTGGCTAAAAAGCAACACTCTTTGCCATTGGACAGTGAAAATTTTTGTATGCATAATTTCGCCAAAAAACCCAGAATTAGCGAAAAAAATATTTTCACTGTGTTTGTTTGTTTAGTATTTAAATTTTTGTAAAAAAATTAAAAAAAATTTATTGGGGGCTAAAAAATTGTTTGTTTTAAAAAAGATTAGATAAGTTTTCTAGATTCTTTTGGTGCAAAAATTAAAAAATTTTTACATTTAAAAATAATGAAAAAAAAAATTCTTTAAATGTATAAAAGGAAAAATTTCAGAGAGGACTTAATTTTAAATGAGTTCTTGCTAATAGACCATTTTTTACATATTCGGCACGAACATATATATATATATATATATATATAATTATTATATATATATATTATATATTATATATATATATATATATATTATATATATAATATATATATTTTATACACAGTAGGGCCCCACTTATACAGCGGGTTTGGTTCCAGGATGTCGCCGGAAAGCAGACATCGCTGGAAGGCAGAACGCCATTTTTTCCATGTATAAATGCATATAAATGCCAGACAACAAGTTTACACTAAATTATATTAAGTTAGTAATAGGCAGTCTTCAAGCTGGCACTGGACAAGCACCTAAAGTCGGTTCCTGACCAGCCGGGCTGTGGCTCGTACATTGGTTTGCGTGCAGCCAGCAGTAACAGCCTGGTTGATCAGGCTGTGATCCACCAGGAGGCCTGGTCACAGACCGGGCCGCGGGGGCGTTGACCCCCGGAACTCTCTCCAGGTAAACTCCAGGAACTAGGCATTAAAAACACACAAAGCAAAATTCATTCACAGTACATTCATTACTTATCTTAAAGTATTTGTAATCTTAATGTAGGGAGAGAGAGGTGAGTAGTACTTATTTGTAGGAAGTCAGGTGCAGGCAGCCCAGGTAAGATAAGGTTTCGTTCGGATTTTCAACCCCGGAGGATTAGCTACCCAGGATAACCCAAGAAAGTCAGTGCGTCATCGAGGGCTGTCTAACTTATTTCCATTGGGGTCCTTAATCTTGTCCCCCAGGATGCGACCCACACCAGTCGACTAACACCCAGGTACCTATTTGCTGCTAGGTGAACAGGACAATAGGTGTAAGGAAACGTGTCGAAATGTTTCCACCCGCCGGGAATCGAACCCGGGCCCTCCGTGTGTGTAAAGCGGGAGCTTTAGCCACCAGGCCACCGGTGTAGGTAGCCCTGGCTCCCCGTCTCATACTTAATATACGATATTTAAAACATCCCAGAGAGGTAAAATACACATACAGTACACTCATTATTTACCTTAAAATATGTGTAGTCTTAATATAGGAAGAGAGGTGAGTGGTATTTATTTGTAGGAAGTCAGTGTAGGTAGCCGGTAGGTGTAGCCCCGCCTGGGCTACACCTACCGGCTACCTACACTGTGGCCCAGAACCATATTATTAACATCGACATGCCTTGTTCACTGAATTTAATCATTTCTAACAACTACCTTTAGATGCCATCATAAACGAAGGGAGAAGTAATGAATAATTCATGCCGAAAATTGTAAACAAAAGCGAGTGGCTGGGCCAAACGCAGATTCATACACGTTTTCGCTGATGGCTGAACAGAGAAAACGTAATGTTGTCCCTCCACCCGGCTACCACACAGCTCTACAAGTATTATTATCAGAGCACATATAAAATATGCAATACATGCCATACAACAAGTTTATACTAACTTATATTAAGTTAGCAATATTATTATTACTATAATCAAGGGGAAGCGCTAAACCCGTAGGATTATACAGCGCCTGGGGGGGATGTGGAAGGCATTCAGGCTTAATTCGGGGAACTGGAGCACAGATCCAATTCCCTAAATCAAGAGCCCCTCACCAACATTAAAAGTTAGCAATAGAAATAGGCATTAAAACACAATAAAAGGTAAGATACACACAAATTACACTTATTACTTACCTTAAAATATTAATATTAATGTGTGAGAGGTAAATGGCAGGGTGTTTATTGAATAAAATCAGAATGGCACACCATCATCCTCTAACGTGGCACCTAAAGCAAGAGGCTTACGACTTCTCTTTTTATCACAGCTAACCTTAGACACCATCGTCAATGAGAGCCAACTAGTTAACGAAAGAGTAAACGAGAGAGAGAACGAGATACAGAGTTGAGACAATGTAAGAACACAAACTGAACAGGTAGTGGGCGATCACTTGGTCAGGCGAAATAAATGCTTATTAATATGTGTCTACTTTTAGTTCATTCATGTACGTTTGTAAGAGTTTGTAAAACATTTACCTCAATATTTTTTTATTATAATAATAATTACCTCACAATACAAACACTCTTATATTGTGTACAAGTTAGTACAGAATAAACAAACAGAACACACCATTTTTAGAGTGAATGAAGATAATAATAATAATAATATTATTATTATTATTATTATTATTATTATTATAATAAAAAGCACTAAACCCACAAGGGTCGTGAATTGCTATATATAGAGTAAAGGCATACGAAAAGAATATTTTTCTACAGTTATCCTCCAGTTTGACGAGAAAACGTAATTCTTCCGACACCACCTACACCGCTGATTTGTAAACATCTCATATTTACGTCAATTTTTATTCTGTGAGTGTATGTATCATGTTTATATGTTATGTAACGGGTTTCATATATAATTTTGAGGAAAATATCATAGATGGATTAGTGAAAATGCCTATAATAATGTAAAATAAGACATTTGGTGTGCCCAAGAGTGATTATTATTACGTAGTACATGTATTGGCGTCATGAGTAGAGAGAGACTTAGCGATTTTAATGTGTACCTGCACACCAGCACAGTGTGTAAGTATATTTAGGTACAGGTACACATAAGTATAATTATCAGAGTACATATAAAATACGCAGTAACTTTAAAACACTTGAAATTTTGGAAAATTTCCTGACATAATAGATGTGGTCACGGAGATTGTAAACAAACCGGGTGGGGGGCGCCGTATTTGAAAGACCGCTTGCCGTATAGCAAATTTTGGTCATAATTTGACATCGCCGTGTTAGCGGAACGCCGTAAAGTGGGGACCCTACTATATATATATTTTATAAAAATATATAAAATTATATATATATATTATATATATATATATATATATATATATATAATATATATATCTTAGCAATGAAGGTACAGTAATCGAGAATGATCCAAGGAAGGCGAGGATAGCTCATATTGCTTGGATTAAGAGCCCTTCACCAGCAGCAACACGTTCTCCCTTGAAAGGACTACAACCTTAATGAAAATATTTATTGAAAAGACTATTTGACCACAGTCAAAACTGCATTTTGTAACTATTAGCATTTCTGTACCAAATATAACTAAACTGTGATAATGTCACCTCTTAAAGAATACAGGTTAATAAAAATATAAATCTTTTAGAAGGCATATTATTACATGAAAGAATATACATACTGAAAAAAATGTCTTTATTCGTGATTACTGCAGTAGATACAAAAATTTGAATGCCTGATTGTTAGGTGACTAGTGGCAGCGATGACAGCATCAGGACAACTAGACTGCCTGCGTCTAGGTGCTTGTGCATACTGGGCTGACTGAATCCTTTGGGTTCCCTTCATGTGCCCTTGTTTATTGCACATTTTTTTTTTATCTTCAGCCTTTCTCAAACAACTTTCATGTTTCTGTCTTCTTTATGAGGTTAAGTGACTAAAGATTAACTAAGAATATACTTTACTCTTTCCATATCCACAAATTCCATATATGTACAATATCATATGTGAATACACGTATGGCAAATTTCGAGGCATGTTTTATTGCAGCTGTATAATCCATGTGGGTTTAGTTTGTGTTTTTTAATATAATAATATGCCTTATTATTCATTCACAAGCTGTGCTTGCAGACCCACAATCCAAACAGTCACAAGCTTGGCTGGATTATGGTGATGTTCGTGAGCTAGGCCCTTAGATCTACAACTTAGTGCTTATATGTAAATTGCCTCACCTATTATACAATATTATATTGCAGTATATATGTCTGTCAGATGACCTGTTTGTAGTACAGCTATTCCAGAATATTGTAATTCAAAAGGTTTGACTAATATTATGTCCAATTACAGATGTTTTGGAAATATAAACACTTAAGCAGTATAATGTGATCCTTTATTGACAATGTTTTGCCCACACAGTGGGCTTTATCAAGTCACAAACAGATCTGTTTGTGACTTAATAAAGCCCACTGTGTGGGCAAAACGTTGTCAATAAAGGATCACATTATACTGCTTAAGTGTTTATATTTCCATTGTGTCGGTATTTTATACCATTTATTTCTACAGATGTTTTGGGGCTCGAAAACGTATCCCATTTTTTCGTAACGAAATTTAAGTTCACTAATGATGAACTCAAAATCCTCGAGCTTCTCTTGGAACACATTCCTTTGGATTTGAATGAAGAATGTTACATTGAAATTTAATACTTTTTAAAAATTACCTTGAAAACTTTGTTACCCAGTAAAGTGATTATGCACTTAACCTCTGACACTTCATCAGTCAACCATTACTTAATACTTCTTTGAAGTCCTCTATAGCTAGCATTGTCTGATGATAATGCTGCAAGAAGACTTTTTATTATGCTCCCATGTCAACATCACCACTAATAGGAATAACTACTAAAAGTATTAGACTAAGATACTATGCATTACCATACTACATAATTAAAATGTCTAATATCTATGATGATGAGTTGAGAAATATATAACGTGAGTAAAGGTCTGCAAAATGCTGTATCTCAAATGCACTGCTGCAGAGAAGTCATGTCCAGTACAGTACAGGCAGTCCTCAACTTGTAAGTTGTGTTTCTGGTGTATAAACTTGCAAACAAGTTACTTGTACAGAAAACAATAGTACAAAGGTTCGTATGTGCTGTGTTTGTATGTATGGATTTGTGGAAGTTGTGCCACTTGTAAGTATGGATGTGTTTAATTTGTGGTGCCTGTAAATATGGATGTATGTAACTTGGGGTATTTGTAAACACAAATAGAAGTACCACAACTTGAACCATTTGTAGGTGTAGATGTGTGTAACTTGGGGTGTTCATATGTTGGGACCTCCTTTACTGTATATTGCTTAAATGCTACACTCAATTGTACCAAAATATGCCATCTACATGGTCGAAATTACAACCCATGTTTCTGTTTTAAAATATATATATTACATATTTTTTTTAATATTGGTCAGGAGTAAAACAAAAGGGTAAATTTAAAAAACAAAGGTATCAAACTGTGTAAAGGAGTATTGGGAATTGAACCAGTGGCCTTGCATATGTAAATCTATGACTATACAAACTTAACCACAGTAGAGGATAAAAAGTCACAATACAATAACTTAAACAAGGGAATACATGATATTTTTACAAAATCATGAAGAAAATCAGAAACAATACAGTAATGCAGGAATTAATAATTGTATGATTCACCTGATGCTCACCATGAATTTAGAAAAATACTCTTGAGCTAGAGGTAAGTCAGTGCTATATCATTAAAATATAGTAATTAAATTGAAACGGAGAGTATTAACAGAAATACATAATATTGTATCAGCTGTAGTCTTAGGCTGCTTTCACTGCTATCACATTATGTGTGTATTTTGGTGGGACTCTCAGATCTGTAGCTTTTATATCAGAAAACTCAGTGTATGTGGATAATGTTTCTGTAGTGCCTCTGATTACAATTTGAGGACTATCGAGCCAAAGTTGATCACTATTTATCTTGTCTACTTTTGGTCGTTTAGGCTCATGGTCTCGGTAACTATCTTGGCACTCTGAGATTTCACCAAATCTACCCTCTGGTTTTAAGGATGGATTATGGGGCTGGGCAATATTTCTGTGAGCTTCAAAAGTCTTGTATTTGTCATGAAGCTCTGATGTCTCTCCAAATTCTCCCTCAGGTTTAAGTTTTCCACTGTGGGGTTTAGCAATATTTCTCCTTGTTTCTTTTTGTCTATAACTGTCTTTAACTTCAGTGATTTCTCCAAAATCCCCTTCAGGTATCAATTTAGCTACTTGACGTTTAGCTATGTTTCTCTGAGGATCATAGTTTTTGTACTTATCGTGAAGTTCTGATGTCCCACCAAAGCTCCCTTCAGGCTTCAGCTTAGCACTATGACGCTTAGCAATATTTCTTTGCGTCTCTAAGCTTCTGTATTTATCTTGGATTTCTGAAGTTTCTCCAAACTGGCCTTCAGGTTTTAGAGTTGCTGAGTGCTTTTTTGCAATCTTTCTGTGACTATCCAAAGGCTTATATTGATCATGAACTTCAGAAGTCTCACCAAAGTCACCTTCCAGTCTAAGGCTTGCTGTATGCTTCTTTGCAATGTTTCTGTGAGTGTCCGGTGCTTTGTATTTGTCGTGAACCTCAGAAGTCTCACCAAAGTCACCTTCAGGTCTGAGGTTTGCTGAATGTTTCTTTGCAATGTTCCTGTGAGTTTCCAATGGTTTATATTTATCATGAATTTCTGAGGTCTCACCGAAGTCACCTTCAGGTCTGAGGTTTGCTGAGTGTTTTTTAGCAATGTTCCTGTGAGTTTCCAAGGCCTTGTATTTATCATGAATTTCTGAGGTTTCACCAAAGTCACCTTCTGGTCTGAGGTTTGCTGAGTGTTTCTTTGCAATGTTCCTGTGAGTTTCCAAAGGTTTATATTTATCATGAATTTCTGAGGTTTCGCCAAAGTCACCTTCTGGTCTGAGGTTTGCTGAGTGTTTCTTTGCAATGTTCCTGTGAGTTTCCAAAGGTTTATATTTATCATGAATTTCTGAGGTCTCACCAAAGTCACCTTCAGGTCTGAGGTTTGCTGAGTGTTTTTTAGCAATGTTCCTGTGAGTTTCCAAGGCCTTGTATTTATCATGAATTTCTGAGGTCTCACCAAAGTCACCTTCAGGTCTGAGGTTTGCTGAGTGTTTTTTAGCAATGTTCCTGTGAGTTTCCAAGGCCTTGTATTTATCATGAATTTCTGAGGTTTCACCAAAGTCACCTTCTGGTCTGAGGTTTGCTGAGTGTTTCTTTGCAATGTTCCTGTGAGTTTCCAAAGGTTTATATTTATCATGAATTTCTGAGGTTTCGCCAAAGTCACCTTCAGGTCTGAGGTTTGCTGAGTGTTTTTTAGCAATGTTCCTGTGAGTTTCCAAGGCCTTGTATTTATCATGAATTTCTGAGGTCTCACCAAAGTCACCTTCAGGTCTGAGGTTTGCTGAGTGTTTTTTTAGCAATGTTCCTGTGAGTTTCCAAGGCCTTGTATTTATCATGAATTTCTGAGGTTTCACCAAAGTCACCTTCTGGTCTGAGGTTTGCTGAGTGTTTCTTTGCAATGTTCCTGTGAGTTTCCAAAGGTTTATATTTATCATGAATTTCTGAGGTTTCGCCAAAGTCACCTTCAGGTCTGAGGTTTGCTGAGTGTTTTTTAGCAATGTTCCTGTGAGTTTCCAAGGCCTTGTATTTATCATGAATTTCTGAGGTTTCACCAAAGTCACCTTCTGGTCTGAGGTTTGCTGAGTGTTTCTTTGCAATGTTCCTGCGAGTTTCCAAAGGTTTATATTTATCATGAATTTCTGAGGTTTCACCAAAGTCACCTTCTGGTCTGAGGTTTGCTGAATGTTTCTTTGCAATGTTCCTGTGAGTTTCCAAGGCCTTGTATTTATCATGAATTTCTGAGGTTTCACCAAAGTCACCTTCTGGTCTGAGGTTTGCTGAGTGTTTCTTTGCAATGTTCCTGTGAGTTTCCAAAGGTTTATATTTATCATGAATTTCTGAGGTTTCACCAAAGTCACCTTCTGGTCTGAGGTTTGCTGAATGTTTCTTTGCAATGTTCCTTTTAGTTTCTAAGGCCTTGTATTTATCATGAATTTCTGAGGTCTCACCAAAGTCACCTTCAGGTCTGAGGTTTGCTGAATGTTTCTTTGCAATGTTCCTTTTAGTTTCCAAGGCCTTGTATTTATCATGAACCTCAGATTTCTCACCAAAATCTCCCTCGGGTCTGAGGTTTGCTGAATGTTTCTTTGCAATGTTCCTGTGAGTTTCCAATGGTTTATATTTATCATGAATTTCTGAGGTCTCGCCAAAGTCGCCTTCAGGTCTGAGGTTTGCTGAATGTTTCTTTGCAATGTTCCTTTTAGTTTCCAAGGCCTTGTATTTATCATGAACCTCAGATTTCTCACCAAAATCTCCCTCGGGTCTGAGGTTTGCTGAATGCTTCTTAGCAATGTTCCTGTGAGTTTCTAATGCCTTGTATTTATCATGAACCTCGGATTTCTCACCAAAATCTCCTTCAGGTCTGAGATTTGCAGAATGCTTTTTTGCAATTCTTCGATGAGTTTCCATGGGTCTAAATTTGTCTCGAATCTCTGATGTTTCACCAAATTGACCCTCAGGCTTTAAACTAGAACCATGTTTTTTTGCGATGATCCTTTGGGTCTCAAATTGTCGATAGCTATCTTTATTTTCTGATGTTTCTCCAAAATGTCCTTCTGGACGAATGCTTGCTTGATGTTTAGGAGCAATGTTACGGTGAGTATGAAGTTCTCGATACTGGTCATGAACTTCAGTTGTTTCCCCAAAATTTCCCTCAGGCTTCAAATTTGCCTCCATCTTCTTGATGTTTGGTCGTTTCGCTTGGAAATCTTTGTACTGATTTCGAGACTCTGAGACTTCACTAAATTTCCCTATCACCATGAGGTTTGTTTTCTGTCGCCAAATGACTGGTCTTTCTGCAGCAAACTCACGGTATTTGTCTTTAACTTCACTTTTTTCCCCAAAGATCCCGTCTGGCTTTAGGTTATCTGGGATCCGGTAGGAGTAGCGGTGTTGACCTCCAAAGATGTGGAACATTGAATTATTTACTTCGTCTCCGAAATTCTTTTCACCTCGCAGATTTGTGCCTGCTCTTCTTCTTTCAGGTCTAGAAGGGTCAGTTGGCTGATAACTATTTAATATTTCACTAAAGGCAGTAACTTTTCCTGTATATTTTAGGCTATTATTCATCTTATTCACCTGACGTCTTTGAGTTTTGTAGTCCTGGAACTGGTCCTGGATCTTAGCCTACTCACTAATGTTCCCTCAACTAGGAGAGATTGTCCTTGGGTTTATTTACTGTAGGAAGTTTATCTTTCAAATTTTTATATGTAAATTTACTCTTTGATATTCTATCAAACTTGCCATCTTGGAGTAAGGAGTTTTTTTTATGCACAAGGGTTGTTTTACATCTTGTCTCTGTTTTTTTCAGATACAGAGCTAGTTTGTCTTTTTATAGCAAATTATTACTTCTCTTTTCTTTGCAGTGCACTTTGTGACACTATATTCAGCAAATTCAAAACTGTATTCAGTTTTTTCTCAAAAATTTCCTTTGCTCAGAAAACTTTACTTCGTTATTTTATGGGCCTTTTGTTACCTCACCAAAATTCCCTTCTTTATAAACTTTTGTTTCTGTGTTCTCTTAAGAGACTGCCATCAGTTGTAATCTTGCCTCCTTGACAATAAATTACAGAGAATTGGATGGTGATACTTGTAGTGTGATACCTGTGGTGTTGGTACTTGTGGTGTTGATACCTGTGGTGTTGATATTTGTGGTGGTGATACTTGTGTTGGTACTTGTGGTGACAGTACTGTCTGTTAACCACACCAAAGTTTTCTTGAGGCTTTAAGTTGTGTGTACTTCTTTTGGTAGTGTACTTACTAGGAGCTTTTTATTGTACTCTTTGGCATATTCTGTATCATCTATAAAATCCCCCTCACTTGAAAGGTGTGACTCCTGTTTCTGAAACACAGGACGCCGGGTGTTTAACTTACGGTATTTGTCGTGGGTCTCTGTAACTTCACCAAATTGTCCTTCTTGTTGCAGATTATCTTTGTATTTTATCTCTCTGCGTTTTTGGGCTTCCTTTTTAGCAAACTCCTTGTCGTATTCCGTATCATTTAAGAAGTTTCCTTCGGTTGCTAGATTAGCTCCTTGATGATAGACTACAGGGCGTTGGGCGTTAAACTTACGATGTTTGTCTTGCTTTTCTGTCACTTCACCAAAGTTTCCTTCTTGTTTCAAAGTGTCACTGGTTTTCCATGGAATACGCTTCTTAGAGCCTTTTACTTGATACTGATTAACGTACTCGGTATCGTCTTCAAATTCACCCTCAACTGCTAGATTAGCTTCTTGCCTTTTCACTATAGGACGTTTTGTGTCAAACTTACGGTGCTTGTCTTTTGTTTCAGTTACCTCACCAAAATCTCCTTGCGCTTTCAGATTGTCAGTATTTCTTTTGGAGCTACGTTTATTCGGATCTTTGTTGTGGTACTGTTTGGCGTATTCCGTATCATCTAAAAAATCCCCCTCAGTTGAAAGATATGCCCCCTTTTTCTGAACTACTGGACGCTGGTTGTTGAATTTACGGTGTTTGTCGTGGGTCTCTGTCACCTCTCCGAAATTGCCTTCTTGCTGCAGATTATCTGTGTATTTTATCCCCTTACGTTTTTGAGCTGTCTTCTTAGCAAACTCCTTGTCATATTCTGTATCATTTGAAAAGTTTCCTTCGGTTGCTAGGTTAGCTCCTTGGTGATAAACTACAGGGCGCTGAGTGTTAAACTTGCGGTGTTTGTCCTGCGTTTCTGTCACTTCACCAAAGTTGCCTTCCTGTT